AAACGAATAAAATCGATTCCGATCTCGTGATTCGATATCGAGTCACATGCGTCTCTCTCTCTCTCTCTCTCTCTTTCGGTTTCGAAACCCTTCTTCTTTCCTTCCTCCGGAATAAAACCGATCGAGATAGCGATTTTGATATCTTCGAATAGTTTCTTTCTCCCTAGTTGCTCTTTTAAATTCAGCATATATTATTGTATTTTATTTTTTCCTTATCTTTTTGTTTTTTTTTTTTTCCGTTATTTTTCTTTTTATTAAATTATTTCGGCTCTATCGTAAAATCAAATAGATTTTCTTTTGAATTCTTACCAATCGATATCCGTACACACACCGCGAACGAATATTTCGGTTATATTATTTTTCAATATTTGACTGTGTCACTATTTACTAAATAGTTTTCCGGGTAGCCGTTAGTTACATGAGTTGTTCGTTGTCTCTCGAACTTTTGGTTTGGAGATGGTAGGAGGATGAGTAGTGGTTGGTAAAGGGAAAAGCTTAACCAGCAGCAGAAATGCTCGTTGAAGTGTCTCGCATTAGCGTACACTTTCAGTGCACAGCGGTATGAGAGTGCAAATAAATTTCCATATTTTCATTTCCCTTTCGGTCATCTTCTCTCGTTGGAGATTACTCGTTTCTACCATTTATTCTCTCTTTTTCTTTTAGTCATCATAGGATATATAAAGTATAACGAGAGAGAGAGAGAGAGAGAGAAAAAAAAAAAACTACTTTTACGAGCATAATAAAAATTTTTCTCGTTATCTTATTTTTCACTTGTTTTACAAGAACAACAACAACAACAAAATCAATAACGTAACAAAACTTATTATAGACAACATTGTAACGTTACTTTCAAGATTTATTTTTATCTATATTTTATATATACGCGAGATACAAAGGTATATTTATCTGTTTGATTTTCTTTCGAAGGAACGAGAAAATCAATGAAACTCTGTGTAATTTTATTAAGATAAAAGTTTTTGATTGAAAGAGGGAAGAAGAAGGGACAATAAATGTTAGAAACGTGAATAGACAGATGGATAAATAAATAGATAGATAAATAGATAGAAAGAAAGAACAGACAGTATAAGCTTCTTTAGGAGGGGAGTTAAGAAGGGGTGTCCTTTAACAGTACGTTTACGTTGCTTTTACTGCGGAGTAATGTTATTGGCAATCGAATAGGCAATACCATCGTCATCGATGTTGGGAAATAGGGAGAAAGACTCTTAACCAGAGCAATAGGAAGCAAGGATGTTTTTAGGCAGTTACAGTTGAATCGTTGGTGCTTCTGACAGATCGAGAACGTCGAATAGCGACTTTCCGGTCATGAAATCTTCGATATCGCATAATGGTCTAAACGTAAATCACTTTTACTAACGGATATTCTTTACTCCCTCTTTTTTCTCTTTTCCGTAATTTTGTCGAAGAATCTGAAGAACGTGGAAACTAAACCAAAAGATCTTACTAAGCAGAATGAATCATGCGGTATCATAAAATTCATAAGATGTTCGAACAAACTCGATAAACGTGTCAGAAATAGATTTCTATTGAGGAAATTAAATGAAATTAAAAATGAAAAGGGTAAGTTCGTATTTTGAAGCTGAAGATGTACGTATCATCGTAAAATATTTCTCTCTCTCTCTCTCTCTCTCTCTCTATATATATATATATATATATATATATATCTATTTCTATCTCTTGACGATATAAATTTCGCATCGATCGAAGTGGAAAAAAGAATAGGAAAAGCGTTGTTTTCTATGAATCGTCCGGCGTATTCTCCTCGTTCGCTCGTCTAAAGTACGTTCGGCCCAGTGCCAAAGTTTCTACCTCACTGGAAACGCTTTCATCGTCATTTTTTTCTTTTCTTTTTTTTTTTTATCGCCACCTTGAAACGTACGGGAAACGTGTAACGTTTCTCGTCTCTCATCGAAAACTCGTCTACCACTTGTCTATCAAGAAAAGGAAAGATAAGAAAAGAGAAGAGGAAAATCTGAAATTTTAAAAAAGACTTTTTATAAGAAGAATTTGATTGTTTTGTTTTTTTTCTTATTAAAGATTACAAATTGAAGGAGGTCACATAAATATTTTCTTTATTTTCAATGATATGAAAAATATCTGAATAGTATAGTTTGATTGGTTTCAAAAGAGGTATATCATGGAGAACAAAAATTTTCTCTCTCTCTCTCTGGATACGAAAATGTAACCTTTTAAAAATTTTTACAAAGAATGTCCATTTACGTGGGGCGTACGAACTTCTCATTCAATACGGACAAATATCTCAAATTTTCAGTCATATTCTGGCGTACTTTTACACGTAACAGCATCCGGTCGCGAGAGTGCTAAAAAATGGCTATATTGGTAGTTATGCTGGGTAGGTATAGCGTGAAAATCTAGTACTCGCGACCGAAAGTGTTAAATGGGTTCAGGCTGCCACGAAACGCATGGCTTTTACCGCTGTAAACCTTTAAGTAGGTCACTTTCGCCAACAATAATTCGTTTTTTTCTGAGTTTTTTTTTTATACGTCGAGGTATTTTCTCGTCTAAAGACGGTACTTACTGTTATATATAATCTTTTGATTGGGAGAACGAAAATTGAAGGGTTGCTTGTTAACTAAAGAATAGAATGAGATCGAGTATAGGTGAGAATAATATTTTAGAACAAACAATCTAGAGCAGAAAGAAATGTGAGGAAATGTAAAAAGATATAACAACAAAATCTGGAAGAACAAAGTTTACCTAAGCTTTTTTTAAATATAAGATTTTCGTTCGTTCATATTAATTAATTCTCGCGTTGTAGGCAAAATTGTTTTATATTATATTAGAATTATTGTTTCAAGATTAAATGAAATATTGTAATTCGTTTTCTCTCTGTCTGTCTGTCTGTCTCTCATTCTCTTTCACTCCTTTTCTTTTTTGTCATGACCATCTTTGTTGAGAAGAACCGCACAGAATTGGGTTCGAAGTGGGACATTAATAAAACTAGAGTTTTAATTGCTAAATTCCCTATTGATTAATGGCGCTTCGAGACAGTCAGGGAATGAGATGGATGATATTTCGAACGACTCAACGATTTTAAAGAGGAACATACCAGATCATCTCTCGACGTTTTAAATTATTAATTTATACTCGCGTTTAAGATAATTATTATTCTCTAATAAATATTTATTTATTATATGTGCATATACATATACAACGTATAATATATACTCAACAAATATATATATATAAATTTTTTTAAAAAATATTTTAATTTTAATGAGCAAAGATGCAAAGATAATATTATCAGATAAACAATAGGAGCAACGAGCAAACAGAATTCGCGATACACCTTTTTTCAGCCGGTGGGTGCACCTGTTTATAATGGTGTGCGAGATACGTACTGGTAGTAACGAGACGCGTATTAAAAGCGAGCGATACGAGATGAAGAAGAAGAAGAGAGAAAGCGAGAAAAACGTGGAAGGGGGATGAATAGAGTGCGAGTCTGAGAGATAGAAAGATAGAAAGAGGAATCGCGGATAATAATTTAGATAGCGGCGTTGGAGACGATCCCATTTTCTGCAACAGACATAACGGCTTTGCTTTCCCAGCCGGAACAATCGCGTCGTCCTCTCCCCTATGCTTTCTTGGCGAGAGCTTGATACCGCCAGGAGAGTCACATAACTGTCATGGGGGTGGCGTGATTCACGTGAAAGATGGCACTCGACCCGATACATTTACGGTCCTGCTTGGCGCCATAATTTTATTGTCGCCGGTTAGTCTTTACCAAGTACGGAACACGCCTATTTTGAAAGATCATTGACGAATATAATGACTTTTCTAATAACTGTTAATTATAACTGACTAATCAAATTTCTAGTACTCTTATCAAAAATATTATTATAAATATCGTTTACGAATATATTGAGAGTATTCTAATATAATTGCTAGTTTTATTAAGTATAGAAATTAATTCGGTACGTTGATATTGAATCATTTTATAACTTTGATTTAAATGTAATTAATCATCCGCCATTTTGTAAGATTTAAGTATCAACATTTACAGTTATGAAACATATGACGATTAGTCAAAACCAAAACTATTAGTAAGCAAAATGGCAAGAATCATATTTGTTTCGAAAACGTATCGAATTAATTTCTACATCTAATATAACTGATTAATCAATCTTTGAGTCTTATTTAATTAGAATAAAAAAGAAATATTGTCGCTTTTCCAATTCAATCTATTGAGTACGTAAATAATATATATTTATAAATCATTAAGAAATTAAAATATATCGAATAGAGTACGTTCGCATATAACAATGTGTTTATCAATCAATTCGAAATTGAAAGGATCAGTAAATATCGATAGGATATAGTAATGATAAAAGTAACTAACTTTGATCGTTGAAATTCTTGAAGCGTGGATAACGAACTGATAGGCAAGCACGAGAAGATGCGTGTATCTATTATAACATTGAAATTTGTGCACCACTTCTAACGTGATACGATCTCTTTTCCGTACATGCGCGAGAAATGTGCTTAGTTTGTCGCGTTATCGTTGAATTCGTAGGGGCGGAAAGAGTAATTATAGTTTAAGGAGGTACATCGAACTACGTTACATTGTACGATTTCCTACACTATTTCCGTTACCACTCACTATACCAATTTACAGTTTGAATTACCTACGAGACGTAGTTAACGATAGTTACTCTTGCGTTGATTGCGTACGAAACACGGTTAACTTACGGCTTTGGTTGAGTAGTTTCGATACATGTTCCGTACTAAATTTTATTAAACTCATCCTGCGGTTTACACAAGAAAATTGGACCGTTTTTCTATATATACATCTATGTGTACTTACGTGGAATTTCATATTTTCTAGTCCTCTCTCTCTCTCTCTCTTCTCTTCTCATATTATACAAAATATGAATTTTCATATGAATTTATGGAATTCGTATAACGTTTCAATTTTATCGTTAAAGATAGTTAGATAAATGAAGAATAAAATTGTTACTTACTATGACTGTGTGGAGATGCATCCCCGGTAATAGAAGCAATAAGCGGCTCATCGACAGCTATTTCCATGTCCGCAGATTTTCGGTATACATCAGAAATGAATGCTATACAGCTTAAACGTAGACGGCCGTCTCGAAACATGTCATTGGTGATTTTAAATTCTATATTTGATTTCGTCTTAACGTTGTCGTCCTCCAGATGAATCGAATACGGTCGTATTTCAAATTGTGAATCGTTGCTCGTTATCTGTGAATATAATTACACACACACATACAAACAAACAAAAATATAATATAATATACCGATAAATATATGTAATCGATATTAAATTTAATATAAGAAAAATAACATTACGTATTGTTATATAAGTGAGACTTATATATTAATATATTTTTGGACAAGAATATTGATAATTAAATTACGTATTGTTTTTCTAATCCAGAACAAAAAAAAATAAGAAGAAAAACGGGAGGGTAGTGGGAGGAGGAAGGCAAGCATTGGGAATAAAAAAAAAAAAAGAAAAGAGATTTGAATTTCGTGCACTTTTATTATGAAACATCGTCGCGAGATCGACTCCCATTTTCTTGGAGAAGTAAGAAAGAAAGGCCAAAGGAATACTAGGGAAGAAGAAAATGATAGGCGAGTATCTCTCGGCGTTATTACTTCGGGGAACAAACGAGGCTATGCATCAAGTCCGTGGACTTCGCGATGATGCGAGACCAGAGGACGCATCCATAAAGTATAATGCATAAAGCTCGTGCCATCGTGTTGCCCATCCTCTTTTCGTAAAAACCATCACCACCCTATCTCACATCTCTCTTTATTCCTCTCCCTCTCTCTCTCTTCTATGTGTTCTCTTTTTCTTTTGTTCCATGCTTACGTTGCGTATTTCAGCAGAGCGTAGGCAGAAATGTACATAGAGACATGGAAAAGGCTTCTCTATAAAACGTCATCTCGTCGCGTTACGATACCAGATATAAAGAATGAGAAAAAAGAGAGAGAGAGAGAGAGAGAGAGAGAGAGAGAGAGAGAGAGAGAGAGAGAGAGAGAAAGTAAAGGACCAAGAAAAAAATCGTATTCCGCCATTTGGCACGCACAAAACTTGGTTACATTGCGAGGTATTAAAAATGGAGAAAAAAGATAACAGTAATACACAAAATATAGACACATATGATTTCCTATTTTGTTCTTTTATATTTATCATCGAAATTATTTATGATGAAATAATACTGAAACCTCTTTCGAAACAAAATGGCAATGCCAATGAACGGAAATATCGAATCCCTATTATTATTAATATTATTATTATTATTATTATTATTATTATTATTATTATTATTACTCATGACGTAAATCGTATTATAATGCATTTATTTCGACACATAGTCATTTTAATTGAGAATCGTTGAAAAAAGAGATACATTGTTTTATCATATTTCATTTATTACTATTTTACTTTTAATCTCTGAAAGATATGAAATATTTTTTCGATCATATGAAATATTTTTTTACATAAAATTCAAATAATATTTTTATTCATTTCCTCTCGCTTGAGATATAATTTCTCTTTAGATATATTTACACAAATTCTCGATTCTGGAAGATAAAAGAGAAAGAGAGAGAAAGAGAGAGAGTAAGAAGAACTGACAGGGATCACATTTTCAGGGAAAGTAATAAAGAGTGAAGATGTCGGATAAGAGCTTAAAAGTTGAAGAAAGACAGAAACGGAGAGGCAACTCCCTCTCTCTCTCTCTCTCTCTCTCTCTTTTTTTTGTCTCTCTCTAGGTTCTTTTCTCTCGGCATTATTGCTTCGAGTAACGCACGAGATGTTGTATCGTGTCCGATGATGACGTCGAACTACTACTAGCCGGGTTCATAAAATGCAAGGAACGAAACTGCTGTTGCCGCCATCTTTGCAACTGATGCTGTCCGCCCTTCTGCATAATCCATCTGTCTTTCTCTCTCTCTCTCTTTTTCATCCTTTTTTTTTTTCTCATCGTTCGCAATCACGTGCACGGCAAGAGAATAAGAGCGGAAGAAAAGGAAGGAAAGAGAAAGAAACTAACAGTGGAAAAGGGATACACGCACGTTGTGACTTGTTCTACGTGAGACTGTGTGTGTATATCTTCATTTACTCTCCGACATGTATTTACCCTTCCTTCAATGTATTTTCAGTGTATCTCTGGTAATCCTTCATTCTTGTAATGTATTCGTAAGCCAAGTTGTAGATATTTAAATGCATATATACATACATATTTTGTGATAGGAAAAATTCTGGAGTGAACAGGAAGCAGTGTGTTCCTTGTATCATGTGAACGAAAAAAACTTAAGACAAAGAGAGATAACATATAGATATGCAATAATAATAATAATAAAAAAAAGAACCTAATCAATCGCACGATACTTTTTATTTTCATTCAATGTAGTTTTTCAATATTTTTGTTTATTTACATGTTCTTGTTTATTTATGTATTTTTCATGTATATTCATATATTTAAAATATCATCGTCTCTTTTTTAGATCGAAATATGTGTAGCATAAATATTTGCAATTGCAAATAACGGAATACACACAGATATACTTAAAAAAGTATTAGTAAATTTATTTTGTTATTGCCTTTTTTCTTTTTTGTTTTTTGTTTCTAAGCTTTGCTTATACACGTATAAGAGATTATCGTAAAGAAAATCGAAAAGTGGAAATAACTTTTTCTTTGAGAAGCAATCTGGAAAATGTTAGTACCGATCGAAAAGAAGGTAATGTAATTGGAGCCTCGTAAAAGACACGAATTTGTTTTTCCTATCGGTGTTATTATATTTCAAAAGAAAAACGGGTTACGTGAATGTTCTTTTAAGTAGCTATTAGAAAATAGCGAGATGCAGAGACAGCAAAAGCGATTTTCGCGAATCCGTATTTCGTCTTTATTTTCATTTAAAAATAAATAGCCTTCGTGTTAAATTATTTTTTAATTATCTGTGTGTAAAATTAAAGATACTCTGTTTTTAATATAAGATTAAATACTTATCTTCTTTTTTTCTTTTTAAAAAAATACATTTTAATTTGAATTAAATTGAGAAATTTAAATTTATATCCCCAGAAGATGTTTTAGTATATTATTACATTCGAAAACCTTAAATTATTTCTACGTTATCGATGTAAAAAAAAATAAATACGTCTTTTTATTTATAAAATAGTATGTCAATGTGAATTAAATTCGAAATATTTTAATTCAAGTCTCGAATGTCAGTTTTTTAGCGTTATTACTTTTAAAAATAAGTGGACTTACGTAACCGATAAAAAATAGATAAAATAAAAAGCAAAAAAAAAAAAAAAAGAAAAAAAAAGATAGACACAGACTTTTACCATAATTTCTCGCGATAAAATGTGATTCTCATTTTAAATTCGATTCCTGAGTGATCGCGAAAGCGATAAGTGTCTTTTAAATGAAACATCGAGTGTCGTTCGATTTCTTTGCAGGAAAGCGGTTGTTGCTTTCTCGTCTATACTGAATATCGTAGATAAATTCATGAAAATATCGAGCTAGCATTTCGATTGTTCTTGAATTCTCTCCTCTGCCTTTTCTTATTTCGTACTCGACGCACGTAAATGTGAAAAGATGCTCATAAAGTCACAAAGCCTCATACTTTCTATACTCTTTTCTATCTTGAGCGTATTTTCCGGTATATATATATATATACATACATATATATGTAGATACGCATGTACATATTTCCATAAAGCAGTCGACGCGTGCCGCGACCTCGGATTTACCATTCTCGAATATTGTACCTCGAATCCCAAGAAACCACCACCACCACCACCACCACCACGACACAGGGTTAGAATTTCAACAACATATTTCTCTTCTACCTTCATTTCCTAACGATCGAACTTAATTTTAAGAATCAACACAAACTTTTTTCCGCGATCGTGTTTCGAATTTATTATATGTCTATTTGTTGAGAGAGAAAAATCAATTTGTCGAATTAAACGTAGTTCATTGAAATTCTTTTCCTCGTTCTTTTTTTTCTTTTCTTTTTTTTACATTTTCTATTTTATTAATCTGTACACGAGTTGAGTTAATCAAATAGTTACAGAAAAAGCGTTCATTGAGAGGAAATATTTGGTGGATGAAGAGATCATAGATTTTTTTGTTAACAAAAACAATAGTACACATTGAGAGAGAGAGAGAGAGAGAGAGAGAGAGAGAGAGAGAGAGAGAGAGAGAGGAAGAGATTTTCCTTGGTTAAAAATATTCCTTGATGTTTTTTGGATTCATGAAAAAAGGCTTTCCGATAAAGTCACGTGAAGCTAAACGGAAAAATTGGCGGCGAGAAAATATGAGAGAAAAGTTGATTCGAAATTGGAAGGCGCGGTTCGATCCTCTTGGCATAAGATCAAGTATACCTATACATATATATACCACAAATACCAGGATGTCTTATCATATATCTAAGACTACCTAACAAGAAAAATACACACATATACATATACATAACCGAAAGGGGTAGTGTAGCCAAAAGTATATAAGTATAAAGCGTAGATAGGAAGATATATATATATATATACATATATATACTAGCGTAGGTATTAACTCGGGATGTGGTAGAAGAGTGGAAGTAGCCATTGGACAATCGATGGGAGCGATTTTCTAACCCAGTGACCGGTTACACCAGGCCATCGTCATGGTCCACGCGACTCCTGCACTTTACGCGAGTTAACCACCGGTTGATAGGCCTTCTGCACTTTCACGACCTTTTCTCCTACCACTCGAGGTTTCATGGAACCGGAAACTTCATATCAGCTTCGATCGTTCGATTTATTCCGAAAGACCGTTATCGTGGTTCGTTCAAATGAATCTATTTCTCACTATCTAATCTCAATTAGTATCGATAGCTTGTTACACTTATTTTTCTTTTTCGTTTTGTTCTTCTCTTTCTATTTTCATTAATATCATATCATAAAGAAACATTAATAGGTAGAAACTTTCCGAGCTGTACTAAAATTCTAATAGATTTTATAGTTTAACCACCCTCTTCCCTTCCAGTTCTCACATTCAAATCTCATCACTCGTCAAGTCACCCACAATTCTTTAAGTTATTCCTTGGTAAAGGCTTAACTGCTTAATCAAAAATAGACCACACTTTTTATTATATCTTTTGAAAAATAAATATTAATATGGAAGGGAACACAATGTAATTGGTGCTTGTTGGGAGCCAATCGAAAACATTCAAAATCAGGAAATAGATACGATGGAATAGGATACTAGTAGATGTTTTTTTCTTTTTTACGAAGTAAACGGACCGAAATGCGTCACGGCTGTTAGAAAAGATTCGAAACTTTCTACCCACCTCCCCCCTCCCCCCATTGCAATCGTTCTCTTTCTTTCCCTTATCTTCTTTGCAAAATCGAGAAATGTAAAAATAGAAAGCAGTTCGTACAGACGTGCGCTTTCGAGCGAACAAGCTATTGTTATACGTCATCAAGGTTTGGTAGGAGATAGAGCCAGAGCTCACACGAAAACGCGAATTTTCAGTTAATGCGCGAAATATCCCGTATTGCAGTCATTGCAACAACGTTCGTTTCGTTTCGTTTCGTTTCGTTTCGTTTCGTTTCCGTGTCGACGATTTTTCATTTCTTCCGTTGTAGCGAACATAATGTCTCGGCGGTCTCTTTCCTTTTTCTCGATAATTCTTAAAAATAACGTAAATATAAATTTCACCGTAGAAAATCTTCAATGCGACGTTTGAACGCAAATATTTTTTTTATGTATTTTGTCTCCCTTCTTTTTTTTGGTTATGCATTTTCTTCTCTTTCATATAATATTTTCCATTTCAATTTCCTTAATGCGTGAAAATTATTCTACAAAAATTATTTAACTCTTGTCGGAATAATAATAATAATAATAATAATAATAATAATAACGACAACGACGACGAGAATGAAGACAATGAAAGAAGAATGAACGTCAAATCGGATTTATTTTTAGTTCGCATACTATAAAATGTTCATATTTCATTTTTTAATTAGAATGCTTGTGTCGTAATTCGATATTTCGTACTCTCTCGTTCGATATCAATCGAATTCTCGCTACGATAGGAATTAAATTTACCCATATATATATCGTGATACGTCCACAGAAAGTGGGTGGGCGCATATGGAGGTGGAGGTGGCGCAGAAGTGGAGGAAAAATAGGAAAGGGTAGGTAGGTGCAAAGGCCGCCACGATATCAACCCTTTCCCCGCCACTATGCAAATAAATCGTTATTCCGTAGCATTTGTTAAATCAACCAAATTATTTCGTTAAATCGCAATCCGAGCTGCACACGTCGGAACATATTGCCACGTTGCTAAGGCCAAAGCGGTTTATGTGTTTACAACCGTATGAATTTAAATCCTCGTATTTCTTCTTTTCCCTTTCAACTTCCATTGCGTTTCTGTTCTTTTCAATGATCGACAACATGTCGAAAACATTTTCCACAGTATATCGATGGATAAAACCAGCTCGCAAAACATTTATTTTCCCTTGGAATTACAACAGATATAGGTACGTTTAAATTTGTTTTTATCGATATCTATTTATTTATCAAATTGCACCATTATGTTACATTATTTTGGAATGTTTTTGGAATATATCCTTATATATATAATAAATATTGTATTAATATTACAGTTAATAATTAATTATAGGACAATTATAGGATAATAATGTATTTGGTAAATGAAGGAAAAGTACAAATATTTTAATAGAATAATTGCGTAGGGTGAATGATTATTAAAAAAGAAAAGATACAAAACAAAACAAAACAAACGAAGATTTATACGATGAGAATTTTGTTGCAAAATTAAACATTTGTTACAAAACCGAATACGTATACAGTTGACGAATAATTGAAGAAAAAGAAAAAGAAAAATGGAATAAAAATAGAAAAATAAAGAGGGTGTAGTAATGACGAAGAGAGAAATAGAGATACTTACAGGATCTCCGTTGAGTATCCACGTAATGGCAGAGGCTGGACGGGATGCACCGGAGGTGCAATTTGCTCTTAGCGTTTCTCCAACTGCTACGCGCTCTTTCTCACTGCCGATAGTCGGATCCGTTTTTGGGGCGTCTAAGGCATAATAATTATGTCGTTTAACACATGCGACTGCTGCTCTCTGGCATTAATTCGACGTCTGGCGGAGTGCCAGAAACCGACCGGAAGTGTACTTCTAACTCTCTCTCTCTCTCTCTCTCTCTCTTTCTCTCTCTCTCTCTCTCTCTCTTTCTCTCCTCATTCCTATGTGAAATCAACCCTAACTCTCCTCCCGTCTGCTCGTGATTTTATCGTCTTGAGAAGGATCGTTCGCCGCGTGATTTTAGTTCGGACGAAAACCGCGTAACTTTTCGCGACCGTACATTACGCTCTGAACTTTTTTCATGTAACGCGGAATACGCTGACGTCACGTTTTCGGGGCTTGCTGTAGACCATTGAGAAAGAGGGGAAGGAAGAGAGAGAAAGAGAGAGAGAAAGAGAGAGAATAAGAGGGGAAGATCGAATCCCTTAATCTACGGAGAGAAAGAATCGTAGCGGTTTCCGGGAATGGGAACCGTAAAGGGAAATCCCGTGCCGCGAGTTATGTGCCTCTAAAGTTCTCGTTAAACGTATCGTCGTTATTTGCGAAAAGCGGGACGCAGGGAATGTCACTATTGCCGGCCAACGATCGATCCCGTGTCCTCCCCACTCTTCCCCGTTCTTCTTCTCTCCTCACCTCTTTCCGTCCTCCATTTCGTCGGTGGCATCTTTTTTTATTGCACTTTTTTTTTTTTATGTCCATCCTACTCTCTGGAATTCGAATTCCTGTGCTTTTTAAGTATCGAATCTGAGGACGAAAAGGGGCTGCTGTGGAATATTTTCATCCTCCAACGCGTGGAAATGATTGTGGCGAGTAGTATAGACCTAGGATTGCTCCGACTACTACTCGTATAATATTTCTTTACAAAAAAAAAAGAAAAAAAAAGAAAACTACGATGGACTATAACGATTCCAACGAATTGTAATCTTTGTTGAGAACGTTAACGTTATTATTACACAATATATCGAATACGTTTATTATTAAATTCCATATGTGTGATAGAAAATTTGTACGGTATTATTTAATTAAAATTAAATAGAAAGAAAGAAGAAAATAATTCCATTAAAAGTACGAACAATGATACGTGTTATATTAATGGAAAGATAATTTTAATTTCAAACAGAATAATTTGTTACTAGTGACGGAACTTTAGGAAGAGGTAATTATGCCATCAAGAATAGAATATACATAACAAGCCTATTTTCATAAATCATAAACACATTGAATAAGGTTATTATAAATTTAGAAAAATGTGTATTCTTACCTACGACCATCATTTCCGCTCTCTTGATCAACGTATGATAAAGGGGTTTACCAGCTGATACTTCACACTTGTACATCCCGGTTAGATTTCTCGTCACGTCTACCAGTGTTACACTAACATGATCGGATGCGTTGACCTGTGAAACAATATCGTAGCTTTAATGTATCTCCAATTTCAATTTATCTTTTTTTCTTTTTTTTTTACTTGTTCTATCGTGCTTGCCTGACTCATCACACGAGGTACGTTATATTTCAAAGCCGTTTTTAGTTTTAGTTTCTATTTATTTATTTTCTTTTCTTTTTTTTCTCTCTCTCTTTCCCCATTCTACTCCCCCTTGTTCTGTCAATTTTCTCTACCACCATGTTGTATCGGGCTCGTACGATCGTAGCTCTCGTCGAAAGTAACACACGGATATTACTTCGCATTCTGCCGCACCATCGACTCACCGAAATCGATCCTCCGCGCGACTAAATCTCGATCGGTTCTACTCCACTATCTCTAAAACCCACTCCCCACAACCCTTACCCTATCCCCCTCCCAGTTTCCTAGATCTCACCCTTTCGTTTTCTCATCCTCTTTTTCAGCTGATATTTATATGCATCGCAACGATCTTTTTCTCTCTACCTATCTACTTTCTTCAAACTGCTTCGTTGTTCTCTTCGATTCGTACGCCCTTCTTTTTCTCTTTTTTTTTTCTCTCTCTCTCTCTCTTCTTTATCGTTTCTACTTTCCCATTCTTTTTAGTCCCTCCTATATCCGCTATACTATCTTTTTCTTTTTTTTCTTTAACTTTTTTTTTTTATAAAGAAAGGGATGGAACCAAGGATGAATGAAATTGTCACAAATTCAAAAAGAAAATTATATAATAAATAGGGAAGTGTTTTCATTAGGGATAATTGTTAATATCGAAGATATATTTGAAGAATAAGAAATTTGATTAATCGATTGTGTGTGTGAAAAGAGAAACAAAGAGAGGAACCGTTAACAACTGTTAGTATTTACAATGATCGTATAATATTGTTTATTCTTTTAATAATTATATTTATCTCTTGCAAAAATATTATGACTCTATTGCATATATATATGCAATAAAAAAAAAAATATATATATATATATATATATTTTTTTTTTTTATATCATATCAATACGATACTTTCACACACATTGTAAAACTCTGCTAATATTTTTCTTTCCCCATTTCTAATATTAACTCGTGAGAGAGATAGGTCGTTTCAACGAGATGACCATAACTTTTATTTGTTTTCGGTAAAAAAGGAAAGAAATATATGCGTGAAATTTTTACAACTTGATTGCTCACATGGATCAAACACGGCAAAAGCCCGCGGGCATGAGAAACCCATGGGATATATTGCGTGCGAACGTTCGTTTAATCGTTGATCCATGCCGCTTTTGCGTTCTATAGTTTTGAATTTCAGCGGTGGTGGACACGCGATATCGCAATTTTACGGAATGTAAGCACCAATCATAGAAGCTACGTTTATCTTTTTTCCATGTGTATTTTAGATGTATTTTAGAGATAATAACAATAAATAAAACCGTTTAATAAATTCTTCGAAATTAACTTTAATAAGATACGTTCTTCATGTTGTTAACAAAAAACGTGAAAAAAAAAAGGTAATTATTTAATAATATTTAATTGCCGATAAAAGATTTTAAAGCTATGGATATTATATTACTCGGTGAATTGATATTATTTTATATTTGTATATTTATTTTTCCACAAAATGATCATACTCGATATAAATATAAGTAGTATCAGTACAAATTACTTTTTTTTTTAGTAACAAAAATATTTCCCTAGGAATATGGTCTTCAGGGATAGCTATATCAACGTACGGCACTATAATTTTTTATAAGTAATCTTTTTTTTTTAGAAGGAATAGTTCACCATTCTTCTCAATTCGTAAAATTTTAAATAAAAGTAATTTCATTATATAAAATAAAATCAAGTTTCTAATAAGCTATTATGCTTGATATAAGTCAAAGAAATAAATCAATATAATTTACTTTTTCTTTTGGTTATACATTCAAATCATTCTTTCTCAAAGATGTTTTGAAAATAATAATAAAATTGATGTAATATTACCTTATCACAAATAATAAAATGCATAATTAACAGCTATCGATTAATAACATAAGAATATTAAAATTTATTCAACCGAAATTGAAATGTTATTGAGCATACATATTATAAGAGAATTAAAATTTGTCGAAATTCGATAAATTGATAAATTCGATGAAACGTTTTAATATTAAATAAACATATATATGTAAAAATATGTGAAAATCAAGTATATTTGATACGAACGATGAAGAAAGTTTCTATTACGATAGCGTAACGTGTATTGACATTGGATTCGCATTTTCAACGATCTTCTCGCTTATGTTCAATGCAGAAAGGATTGGAGACTCATTTTCATGAGTATACCCGATGAAGCGAGATGGTTACCGGGTGCGAACGATTTCGTGGTGTATCGTCGAGGGGGAAAAAACAAAAGGGAAAAAAGGGAATGACAAAGAGAGAGAGAGAGAGAGAAAAGAAGAAAAAAAAAGACAGCCTGTTTCAACGAGAATCTCAATATCCAGAGCGGAATGAATTTTTGTAGCACCAAGAAAGAAGGATGAAAAATTTACGATATTGTTTTTCGACTGTCTCGTCTTTTACAAGGGCTTAGAAAATTGAATCGGTGGCACGTTTGACGAAGAAAGCAGTAGGAAACCGAAAAAAAAACAAACAAACAAACAAGGAAAAAATTGAAAAAGAATTCCTTTTGCGCGAAATAAAGTCTTCTTTTTAACCATCCTTCTTTTCTATTTCTTCTTACCAAGAACGATGTTTTACAGAATGAACTTTTAAAACTCACAAACTATCCCTTGTTTTCTCTTTTCTTACTCTCTTTTCGTTTCATTCTTTGGCACTTCTTTTCTGAAACGTTAAGTCACTTTTTGAATCATCGTTACTTCTAATGTACACATAGAGTATACGGGGTGTCCCAGTCGAAGTAATTCACTTAAAATACTTTCTTTATTTTTAATGATATAAAAAAAATGTTTAAGACGATAATTCGATTTTTTATTTTAAGGTTATCTTTTATAGATTTTTTTCAAAGCAGTTTGTATTTTTTATCTTACAAGCATATATTTTTTTTTATATATGTATATATTGTGTGTACCTTTTAGATAAGATACATTTAAGTAATCCTGTAGGATGATTTTCAAATGACCATGAACACTAAAAATGTGATAAAATTATAAGGCACGCAGGCCAAGTATACTTTATGTTAAACATTTTTCATATCGTTAAAAACAAAGAAAATATTTAGGTAGTATCTTTAAGTTGGGACACCCTGTATACGCAAAAGCAGTCTATCTACTTGAAAGAATCCTCGGAACGTTTCCAAGATTCGATCGGTCTTACTGTTTTCCTTTTTTTCCTGTTTTCTTTCAACGTGGTTCGATGTTGCTTGTGATTAAAGAAAAAAAAAGAAGAAGAAGAAGAGGAATGATCTATCCTAGTAGCTCTAGGGAAATTAACTAATCTTGAGAGGATATTTTTTTAGGAGAATTAGATGTTCTTCTCTTCCTTTTGAATTTATGAACAAAAGATCGTCATTTGAAGGATAAGAAATGAACGCATATTAGACGTTATTAGAAATACACGCTCGTCCATGTAACCATAACCATATAAGTCGATGTAATATTTCAGTGTTCCGCGTTTATTTGCCAAGAATTACGTTTCTCTCGGAAAAAGTAAGAGAAGAAACAGAGGGAAGAAAAAATTTGAATGGGATAGAGGGTGGAGGAGGTGGGGATGGGGGTGGAATGAGTACCACGACGACAGTATGTGCGCGAAGAAACCCATAAGAATGATGGGGTACGGTGCAAGGAAAACTAATGCTTAGAGAAATGTTTTCTTTTGCATTTCTTTCTTCCTTTTTTATCTGCTAGCAAATCCGTAGAAAAGTGGGAGATAAAGATAAAGAAAGAGAGAGAGAGAGAGAGAGAGAGAGAGAGAGAGTGAGAGAAAGGGTGGAAAAGAGAAAAGTAAAAAGAATTAAGAGAAAGTAAAAATGATTAAAAAAGAAATCGACAGTAGTTTTCTCAATTTTTCTTATCATTCAAAACGAATTATAACGAGTTTAACAATTTCTTTTCCTTTCTGTAATTACAGTCTCGTAATTTGAACCCGAATTGACTCGTTATTAATAACTCGAGTTAAAAGTAGAAACCGTGAAACCGTGGTTCGTATAGCTTTTCAGACTGTCTGGATAAATGAATGTCTTTGAAACTTTTCTTAAAAGTTTTACAGCTTTTTTTATCTCTACTGAAAGATAAAAAGAGAGAGAGAGAGAGAGAGAGAGAGAGAGAGAGAGAGAGAGATAAAAGATATTCTTTATCGTCTTGGAAATGGGATAAAAATCTAGCTTAATCAACGCTTCCATTTCAAAGAAAGTAAATGTTATGTAATAGCAAGAAATAGTTTTAAAGTTGAAATATGTGTGTGTGTATGTGAATGTAAAAAAAAAAAAAAAATTAAATTCATATTCTTAGATATATGTACTATATACGTGTACGTAAACGCATATCCCAAAGTAATATATTAATCACTCGATTCCTGACTTTCGTTGCGGCCTGAAAAATAAATCCAATATCGTTTTTTAATTACACATCGACCGAGTGGTTTCCGATTCGCATTAAAGCGTACTCGGTGCTTCGGGTTCGCATCGCACTGGATACATGTAATGAATGAGGGTATGGCAAAACCGCAAGCGAAATTTTTGAGTTATTAACGGGAAAAGTAGCGTTTAATCGTTTCTCGATTCGCCGAGTTGGTCTGAACTCACGATAGATTGTTTTGTCCCAAATGATATATATCAAATTTGTCGTTTACTAAAATTCACTTAATTTAATACTATTTTTCGTTATAATATTAATATTTAAATATCCACGGTTGTATACAATTGTGTTTAATTTATGTATAACATAATGGTTGATATAACATATCGTTTATGTTCAGTTAAAAGTTACTAACTATATTTTTTGCCTAAAATAACATATGTAACTAACATTGTTTAAAATTTCATAAACAATCCAATTAACTAGCTATTTACTTTGTGAAAAGTATCATTAGTACGGTAAGAAAGTTATTACCAATTAAAAATTTGTTCGATGAACAATATAATTCATGTCAGATTAGCATAAATATTAAATATTAATTTTTTCTCTGTACACACACACACATATATAAAATAATATAATATAATAAATAGAAGATATAATCATTTAATAATATCTCATTAAAAGCAATTATAAATATGTAATATTTCCATTACTTCCGTTTTATTAATAATATTATCTTCAAAAGATTAATGAAAGAAATGAAATATATAAAATTGTATATAATTATTTAAAAAAAAAAAAAAAGTATCGAAATATGAAAAAAAATAGGAAAGAAGGATCGAATAATCCAATATCGCGAGATAGGATGAGGAGAATTTTTTTCTGGGTTGTAAGAAAAATCAGAGGATAAGGTGTAGGTGTCCTCGATCGCAAAGGCGTTGACTCGATTCTCGTGAAACACGGAGGCCGCTTGACCCGGGTTCAAATTCACTCGAACGGAATTTCAAAGGGTCGTGCCGTGGTCGTAGCGCCGCCCATAAATCAGCCCTATCGATTTCTTTCTTCTCGACGAACTCGAAGGATTTTAACCGTCCTACATGGTGTTACCTACGCCGTCGAACTTTTCTATCTATGTAAGTATACTTACGTATATATATATATTCAAACTTTCCTGTGTGCGTTAGTTTGCTATGTTCTTGAGTAACTCGAGAGAGAAAAGGGGGAAAGAGAAAAGGAAAAAAAAAAGAAAAAAGATGCGAGAAAAAGTTAAACCTCTCGTCCCATAGTATGTTGGAAAAAGTATCAAAAACCTTCCGTTTATCGAGACTCTTTCGCTGGTAGAAAAATATATTATGGTCGTGAGAGGTGCGATTCCAGCGTAAAAACCGATGCATTCGAAGCCGAGTGGAAAAATCAGGTCGGCTTACCGTTCTTATCTTTCTCTCTCTCTCTCTCTCTTTCTTTTCCTTTCTCTTTCTCTCGACGTTGGACAAGTACACGACGCTGATAAATGTCCGCCTCGAGTTTCGTCCTACTGCTTCGAGCTTCTCTAACTGTATCGTTTCTTGTTCGCTCACTAACATTGGCTTACTCTTGAGAAAATTACGCGTTTCCTGCGGAAATTTTCCTAGACCGACCGACGACGACCATTGAACAGAGAGGAATGGGGTAAGGGGGAGAAGAAGGTAAAAGGAACGAAGAGGAGTTCAAAATCGCTTATTACGCGCCTAACGTTGTGGTTTAAATTAAAAGGACGACGAGAGAAGCTAAATTATCTAGCGTGCACAATTTTGCACCTCCAGCTTGAAAGTTAATTAATTATCTATCTTCTCTCGTGTTCATCGGTTCTGTTGGAATCTGAATGGAAAAATAAAAGTAATATGCAATCGCGGTTAATGAAAATACCGTAAGTCGTATAAATTCTATTGACAGTTCATTGTCCCTTCTTTTCTTTTTTTTTCTTCTTTTTTTTTTCATTTAAGTATTTTAGGGTCGATGGTCTAATGGATTTTAATTATTTTTAATATGACATTTTTTTATTTTTTTCTTGCTTGAAAGAATCGATATAATAATAGTAAAATTAGAGGAATTTTTATTCGAGAGGTAGAGTCGATTAATTCGAATAATTTTTTCTTTGAATATCATATTTTTTTTAATTAAATTTATCCTTTGAGTAGATTATTAGAATTGATAGTCATTTTTATACGAATTGATATTGAAAATTGTAGCCGATGATACCAATTATTTTACGATCAGCCTTTCATCAAGAACGAATTCATTTTTCACTCATTTTTTCATAATATATATTTTATTTCTTTTTTCATTTTATTATATTCATTAATTCATGTTTATATTCAGCAATATAAGATATAAATCGATTATATATACGAGTAAAATGTATTATTTATTATAATTCTACCTTAAGTATAATACTTTGTATTTTTTTATAACTTTTCATACAATTATATTATATTATTTATTTTTTTCCACACTTTTAATATAATTAAACGCGATGCAACGAAAACACGTAAATTTGTCGATGAATATCTATTATGAAAATAAAATAAAAGAGTTTTATTGTAAATAGTAATTTCGTTTTATTTCTATCGTTTTTAAATAGAACCTTTGAAACGACATTACTACTTCAACATTATATTATACAGTTTCTCTTTCGATGAAAAGAAAAACTATCGTGCTTAACGAGTAAAATATAGACGTTAATTAAAAGACAAATCGCTAAAGCGCATAATTAAAAGTCAAGTTTAAATTATATCATAGAATAAACTATAGATACTTACATTAACATGTATTCCGCTCACGTTGTACGCGCTTTTGCTTGGTATTCGTTCGGTCATGTAACGATAGAATTCTACCTCTTCTAAGCTCCATTGAATGCTGTACAACGGTGAACCCTCTAAGTCGTACGAGCAAGTCAGTGTGACGGTGTCACCAGATCTTACCATTGCTGGTACGTTGATCGTTAAATCCTTTAAGCCCGTAACACCTGGAAAATATTTAACGAGAACGTGCTACGAATTACATTTACGTGTGAAACAAATCCTGCGCATGAAGTATCACAATGCTAGGCCTTATGTTGTTACGACGAGAGAGTACCATTTGTCAAATATTTTATTTATCTTTTACAAACGTTTCCTGCGTTATAAACATTTATGGTAAGAGCCACAGAGAAAGAGTAGTTTTAACCAAAAATACAGTGTTTTGGTCGTTGTAAATCCTACGAAAAAGAATGGAAGAGAGGAGATGAAGGTGGAAAAAGATTGGAGAATGAGAGAAAGAGAGAAATAGAGAGAAAGAGAGAGAGAAAAGCACTCGAGCAGATTTAGGTAAAAATATTTTTAACGAAAAAGCGAGTGAAGAGCAGAAGCGACTATGTGAGGGGAAAAAAAATTAAAACGGACACAAAAACGAAGAAGTAAAAAGGAGTACGGACGAATTAGAGAGAGAGAGAGAGAGAGGAACGAGATACAATCATTTTTCGAAGTGGAGTTATTGTTTCATCGTGTCGCTTGGAATTGGTAATATCGTTTGTACTGCAGACGAATCATATACCGGTTTGGTTTGTCTTCGAGATCACATAAACGTATTCCCATTAAGACCATAAAATAACCTACTTGTTCATCGTCTTTCGAAAGGAAAGCTTCGAATCAAGATTTTTCTCTAGCAAAAAGGGAATCAAAAATATCGATTCTATCGTTTACGATGATTGGGTCATATGTTTGTCGATAGATAGATCATAAAATTTGATAGCATTGATAGTTCGTCGAAAATTTTATTTTATTTCTTTTTCTTTTTTTTTTGTATTTTATTAATATGTCATCTATATGTTCAGCCAAAAGACACTAACTAAACTTTTATCTGAAAATGTATGTTAGCTAATTTACCTTGCTTAAAATTATATCAACAATCTAATTTACTAATGTGCTTTTCTTTCTACAACAATCCTCGTAGTTATCACTTCTTGTAGTTTGAAAATCAATGTTCTGTTAGTCGTGCTGTTTTATCGGATCTAATCTATGGATTAAATTTCAATTTCATACTTTCAAAAGTCGCCTTTCGTTAATTCATATATTATCTAATTAAAGTATGTAATAATGCCTTTTTTTATATGATACTTTAACAGGTCAATATAGTTGTTTCATGATTTAGCTGATTATTTCACGAATAAACAGAAGTCACGTATTAACGGTAACATATATATGTTGAATATCCTTATAATAGAAACTCATTGCACCCTTTAAATTTGTCATCAAAGGAAAAGCTGCAATGTGTAGCATTCGAGTAGAAATCTTCCTACCGTATATCATCCTTTGCACGAAATTTAATCTAAAATTATGTGTTTCAAACTCGATATTGTGGTATAGCTGTCTGATGAATACTACACGACACGTACCGTATAGCAAGGTATAACATACTTCCTAAACTCTGGCATTATATACAAAGTCAAACTTAATCTCATGTCCCTAAGAAACATACGGACTCGTATTTACTATATTTCTCTTCCTTTACCGTGGTCCACTTAAATCAACTTTATACCTTTCCCGCTTTCAATATCGTCCTTACGAAATATTAATAATCATTGTCAAAAATTCATTATTGTTCTTGTGATATAGAAAGTGAAATAATTATAATATCGCTAAATATGTTATACATTCTTGCTACCTGATAATTAGAGACACTTTGAAACTAGTAGCACTCAAGGGAATCCGCTTCTCTATTGCTGAGTATTCATAGTTTTCCAAACTATGAAACCCTTGCCGAGTTTATTATGGACATATCTCGTTTTTAATTGTGCGACAAATATATACGCACATTACATTTCAGATATCAATTTATATCAATAATATGTAAAATTTACAAAGTATACAGTGTTATATCGTTTTATTTCAACTGCCATTCGCGATCATAGAAAGAAAAGAAAGTCTACTGTTTCTATTATCATTGAAAAAGAGAACAGGTACGACATCTTTTTCGTTCTTTTATGTGTACTTTTTTTCTTTCTTGCCTTTTCAAATCTCCCTCTCTCTCTCTCTATCTCTCTCTAACTTTCTTTTTACCTTAGTGACTTATGTTGTGCGTTTGAGGAACAAGTCGTACTTAACTACGTGTATACCTAGGTGTACATAAGCACAGGAATTTACCAAAGTTAACCACATTCCCGACCGATTAATTTTCATAACAGCCGTTTCTAATCTGCAGCTTTGCCCTTTAACACGGCGGATGTATTTCATCCGACCCATTAGGGCTACAGAGAAAATCAGGTTAACCGCCGTATCTCGGCATCTTCGGCGGTACGGATCTCTAATTAGATTAATAAATAAGATCGTACGATGGTGAAAGAGATACGAGTGAGCAAAATATATAGAAGGATTGTTTAATTAACCGAATTTTTATATTCAACGAATTATGTGTTACGGGTAATGTTCGTGGAAACTCTTACTTTTTTATATTTCATTTCAATCGAAACGAGACTGAATCAATTATCTACTTCGAATAAATTAATATCTTCCATATTGACGATTACGGCCATGCCGTGTTGACAGCCTTAGTTCCTGCTCGATCACTAAGTCAAGCAGCACTGGGCATGGTTAGTACTTGGATGGGTGAAATGTGATATGAACCCGCTTGGAAATACCATTGTGCTGTTGACGCCAAGACATTCCGTGCCTAGCTAAGCCTTGCTGGTGGTCCCAAGCCCAGATAAAAGGAGAGGGTTCGAGTGTGAGGCTAGTAGCAACCTACCCGCGGGTAAAAAACAATAAATCGTTCCTAAAAATAGCACGAAGGTGTCCTAATAAAAAGAAGAAAAAGAAGAAGGAAGATATTGACGATTTTGTTCCATGTTTAAAATCGATTTCAATAAGAAGAAACTTTTTCAATGAAACGTGTATAAAAATACCATTGATATTTTTGTTCGTAATATTAATTATTTCGTTTCGACAGAAATAAGTAACAATTATAAATGTTATTTCCGTTTGACGGATATTTCATTTTAAGGACGAGCACAATAAATCTTTGGTTTATTGTTTAATAAAATGGTCATCTTGAATTTATCGAAAATAAATTCTGGGATATTCTAATGAGGATTCCCATTGATCATACACGACTTTATCTAACTTTTCTTTTTGTTTTTTTTTTCTCTTTTTCTTTTTCCCTATATCTACTTGAAAAGAGCGATGAAAAGCGAAGATCTTATTTCCGTTTTGAAACGAGGGTGAAAATGTACGAACTGAGAAACTCAAAAGCGTAAGAAAAGGGTGTGAGTGATGAAGAGGAAGGGGAGGAAGAAGAGAAGAGAAGAGAGAGAAAGCATTATGGTGGGTCGTCGCGATTAGACGGGCTTCGGTCTACATCCTACGACACCCTAGAGATGTTCAGACGTCCTAAATGGACTTTACGCACACCATTAGGTTTAAGGGAGAAAGAGAGAAAGAGGAGATAACTAGCCATACGCCTGAACCTTCCAGCCATGGCTAATTACTATAATAAATAACGCGTGTATATACGCTAGAACAAAGGAGAGAGAGAGAGAGAGAGAGAGAGAGAGAGAGAAATGGGGTGGACGAAAACGTTTCAAGAGGATTATAATTTCTATTTCCCAATCGCCCAATTCCATGACCCCTATAAACGTCCCTTAGCTTATATGCACTGGAAAATTAAACAATTCTTTTAGATTTTTTGGCCTATTTTTTAATTAAAGAAATGAAAAAATAATTATATCGCGTGAAGTATAAAAAGAATTGGGAGAAACAAAATTCTGTTTCTTTTTTCTTTTTATGTTTTTTTTAGCGGCAAAAAGAAAATACGAAAACAGTTTTCTACAAATTGGTTATTAATTAATTTCTTTATAAACGATATATACTCGGGTATACACGGATAATCTGTAAATATCACGTGAATATTCTTGATAGAGATAAAATTTGTAATATAGAGTTTATACTATATTGTTTAAATTAAATTCTTTATCATGATTTTAAAGATCAAAGTATAATAATGTTTGCTTTTACTGCATATTGTAGTGGAAAACCATCGATCTCGTTGATATTATATTCCCCACATGATATATTACATTATCTTTTGTGGGTGATGTATTTGAAATGAAAGGTTTAAGAAAATTAATAGAATGCTTAACAGAGAGAGATATTGTGAATATTTCATTCACGCTAGCTATTTATAAAGAACGACCTTTTTGTTTTGATATTTTACAGAATATTGCTTGTACGTATAAAACGAAAATGTATATATTCGCAAGACTTCTTTATTTTCGAAATATTTCTTTTGCACGCATTACGTAAAAACCGTTGTTTTTACAGAATGAACAACGACGGCATAGTTTTAAATTTTACTAAAACCTATATATATATATATAATACTTCGCATATACAGGGTAACATCGCATTGAAAAAGCTCCAGACAATAGGATTTGAAGGGAGACAACGATTTTCGAAAAAAACATTTGTCCAGAAAGTTTATTGGATATTTTATTTTCGTCGACTGCTCGAAACGATATATCCCGTAGTGTATTTGTACTTGCTATCCATTGATATAGGTGTATATTTATCTAAAGGGATGGATGTGTCGATGTAAAACTACGGAAAATCAATCGAACGGTCGCTACGCTGTCAGCTAACATAAAACGTAACAGACTGTTTAAACCGAAATTGTTACAACCATCGAATTTCATTTTTTCTTTGTTAAATTATACAACTTTTCCAAACAGAGAATGTTTGGACATGCATTTTTTTTTTTTGGTTTTATTTTGCACGAGTCAACCCAAAGTAGATACATGTATAAGCATACATTTGTCTGCTTACATTTATACTTTATTTATCCTAGACTAATGTTAACGTTCACGAGTAGCAAAAATATACACAGTTAATATAAAGTTTGTTCAAGATATCGATTATTTGTTTTCTTGTCACAGCTTATTCTAAAATACTTCGTTTTATTGGCAATCGATGCAATTGAGCGATTTGAAATTTCGCA